TATGTTGTAATATGAAACCGAAAATAAATGGAGAATATTTTTACTCAATACTAAACATTTTGTTTATAATTCTTCGATGCGTTTAAATTTCAAATTTATGTATTGAATAGATACAACTTCCAAAGTTCAAAGAAGATTGTTATTCACATACGGTTATTAATTTTTTATTGTTGATATTTCTCTATTTATTCAGCTAAATGATTGAAAATTAAAAAGATGTAAAAAACAAAAATTATAGTTGTCATTGAATTTTTTCTATTTATTTAATCAAACGATCAAAAATTAAGAATAAATGTACAAGAAACAAAAATTGGAGTTGATAGCACTACTAATTGAAACTCAATCAATACTAATGAATATGGTGGTGACTATTATCACCCCTTGCAAGAAAAATACATTGCAAGAAATGAGGAGAAAGAGGATCTTTTGTACTAGCTAGATGGCAGCCAGCCAATGAGGGCAAACAGGTGTCGAGCTTATCCGAACTTTCCTCGGGAACGGAAGATTCAATTTGTGAGAATACTAGAAATTTTCGTATTTTAACTGTTCATATATAACGTGTAATTAATTTTTATTAGATACTATTTGTATTTAATTTTAAATAAAAAATTAAATGATTTCCAATCACACGATACACAATGAAAGAATCTTCACAAAATAGATTCGCATGGGATCCTATTCCCTTTCCCCGTTCATCTCATGACTCATCGGTTCATGTATCCAATCAGGCAAACAGGTGTCCAACTACGTTGCATCGTCCCCTGCTGCCCTCACGTCCTCTATCAGCATGGGGCTCGCCACTTGTCCTGTTCCCCCAGTTTTTATGAAATCGGTTAATTCTTCCCAAGGGTCAGTTTCGTCTTTCCGACGTGATCGGAAAACGATGGGGTTATGGAGGGAGAGGGACACATGGGCGGGGGTTGGCGCTTTTATTCCCTTTGGCGCCATTGGGCGGTCACATTCATACTCATGGGGTGCATGCATGGCCATCACGTGGATAAATTTTTTATTATGATAGAAATACGAGTGGTGCACAATATGTTTTTATATAAGTGATAAAAAATTTTATTTTTTAAGTCATTAACTTTTAACACACATATTTTATCAGTTGTATAGTAATATGTAGTGTATCATCTCGTATGCCGATCACACTAAAAAATCTCTCCATCACACGTGGGTGTCTTGTCCCTGTAATCCTCGGGTTTGAAGCTTTAAAAATGAATAATTTTATGTTTTTACTTTTAGTATACTGATTTGAGCTTTTTGGACGGGTGAGATTTCATGCAGCGTGATCGAACGGTGTTTGATATCAGTTTATTGGTCATCCGACGGTCACGTCTTTTTCTCTTTCTGTTGAAACTCGACCGACAACATTAAATTTTCATTTTGTTTTGTAACAGAACTTTCTTCTCTCTTCAAATTTCCATTTCATGTGTGTTTGAGAACATTTTGGCTGTAACTTGTACGGTATCATCGTGCTAATGTTTACTAGTACAATCATTGAGAAAATTTTGGTTAAAGGTTGTACGGTATCATCAATCATGTTGATGCAAGGAAAAACTTGCATGAAGGGGTTTGTATGTTCATTTTTCTCTGTTTTGTTTTTCATATTATAACTAATTAGGTATTGGTTTAGTAATAATCTCTATTGCAATTGAAAACAACTTTTCAATTCGAGTTCTCACCTCTGTTGATTAAAAGAGATAGTTCTTTCATCTGGTTAAGTTTAATTAATTATTTGACTTGGTATAACATGTAACTATGAAGTACTTGTAGATACAAAAGTTAGGAGAAATGACCTGTTTGAATGTGAGAGGAAGAGGAATCTTAAGATTGTTAGCATTTCCTAGCACACATTAGGATAAATCGTGAAATACAAAAGGATTGTAGCTCGAATTGTAAATAGCATTACAAAAATTCTGTATTTGATTCTGTCTTCGAATCTCACTTAATTTCAGTTGCTAGATAATCTTAGGGTTTGAGTTTAGGATGGGTTTCAAATTAATTACAACTTGCTTTAGTCTTATCATTAGTGCAAATGGGTCGCCTTCGTATAATTAGAGTGGGGCTTCCATTTCACTAAGGAGGTCCACCCCCATCAGGAATCAGTTTTGAAAATAATAATTGTGTTTGCTATATGCTCTAGTCAATATCAGGGTGGGGGAGCCGGTGGAAATTGTACAGATAATAAGAGTTGGTCCCCATTGCATCTCTATTATATCTACAGCTCCAAAAGTGCTTTTACAATAATCGCTTTTAGACTTCTGCCAACAAAGAGAAATAAAAAGAAACCCAATTGTGCTGCTGGTATTTGATACCAAAATGTGTTATATATCCATTCATTTTTTTTAATAGATTTTGAACTAATGGAGGTTATTGGTTTAAGTATAATCCACTAATGACGATGGTTGATTTTTTATTCAAAGTGTTTCATGCTATCACTTAAGATATATGAATAATATATAATAAAATTTCAGATTGAACATACAGATCTTCCAAAAAGGGTTCAAGGAGTCTTGATTGTATCATGTAGTGATTACTTTTTAATTTGTAATTACAGGCAGGAATTCCATTGTTAAATAACGTTGTGAAGGCGATAATACTTAGTTGGGGATTAATTTATAAGAATTAGGCAGGCAACCATCCATTGTCATTGGCTTACCTTCCAACTAGTTTACAAGATAAGATCTTCCCCTTATTCCAACATCATATACTCTTTTTTATTAGAGGATAACTTTGCCATCTGTTTAGCTCAGATTAGTGCACACCTACTCTTCAAAGAAATACATGTAGATAGAACTTTGAAACTTCGAACTTTTTTTTTTATTGGGGACTACATATGTCTAGAGTTATTCAGAAAGAAACATTTAACATGTCTAACGTATTACATATTTATACGTTTTTTTTACTATTTTTAACGAATTTATTTCGATAAAGTAAAAAAAGAGATTTCATAAACAATAAAGGGATCTTTAATGAAAGGATAATGCTAGGGAGATCAAATTTTTAAACCAGGTTTTGTAAACTAAATGTTGTGGTTGTTGATGATTGAATTATCAGTTAACTGCTGATTAATGTGTTTATTTCTTATTGGTGATATATATATATATATATATATATCAATAGAAAGCAAGCACATTAACACCACTAAAATTTTAAACTATATGATGTGGCACAAATAGAAAGTAAGCACGTTAATCAACACTTAAGTAATAATCCAATCATCACCAACCATATCGTTTAGTTTATAAATTTAATCTTCCGAGCATTACCTATGATTTATAGCATTACCCTTTATTAATTTGTGTTTCTTTATTGTTTAAGCTTGAGTTTTGGTTCTCTTTGTATCGGGCTAAAAAAATTGTAAACTAGAATCTCAAAGATGAAAGACATGCACGCAGCCATAAGCTAAAGCAAGACCGTGAAAATAAAAGGGATCCCAAGAACTGGTCTTTGTTGGATAAGATTGGTATATATTTTAGTTTATTTTTCGGGGACCAGAAAATTAGAATTAAACTCAGATCTCAATCCACTTTCCATCAGGGGTAGGCACTTAAAACCGAAAATCGAAACCAAAACACGAATCAAATTGGACATTACCGAACGGTTCGGTTTTGCGGTTTTAAAACCAAACCGCAATGTAGGAAACGGTTTGGTTTTGATTTTGGCTTTTGAAAACTGCACCGAAATCGAAACTGAACCGCACCAATAAATATTAATAAGCATTTAATTAAATGTTCATATTAGATGTCATGTTTTAATAGGTTGTTTGTTAGAGTCCATACATTTAGTATGAATCCAACCACACTAGAATCATCAGTCATCACTTTCTTTCTCTTCGACATAATATCACCACTCATGAGTAGGGGTGGGAACTTGAATGCATTGTCCTACACTGGATATGTGATCAATGGGTGACATTGAGAAATCAAAATTGCAAGGGAAACAATGCATAGCTTCCTCATAGATTTGAGGGTGCAACCATGCAAGTCTATTTGCTGGGCAATTATAATATGCATCTGCCATGAGTCCATGACATTGGATCATTGATAAATGTTATCGACTACACAGAATATGCATGTAAAGTTGCAAACCATTCATGCATTTCTTCTTCCCAAGCCTTAAAATTTTTGTGTGGCAATTGGTACCTAGCTAGCTAATAAGGTTGCTCTGTGAGGACTTTTTACTGGTTTTTAATTAGGGATTAGTTTCATTTTATATACTGATTATGACATTTTGTAGTGGTTCGATTAGCTATTGCTTATGTTTAATTTGTACCCTTTAGGAGCACTCTCTATGATGTCTAGATTGGGAAATGTTTAATAATATGTTCTAATGTATGATGTCTTTCATTTCAAGTTCTGATTTATGATCCTACTAGAAACTGCTTTTCTTCTAGATAAGTTTTTTTTTTTTAAAAAAAAGTTATTTGTTGATTGCATTCATGTAAAGCTTGAGATAACAAGTGTTTTGTATTTTAAATTGTATATTTTTTCATAAAAACCGAATTGAAACCGTTTAAAATCGCATCAAACCGAATCAAACGGTTTGGGTTCAGTTTGGTTTTGGCTTCAAAACCGTACCAAACCGAACTGCAAAAAATTTCGATTTTAGTTTCGGTTTCACTCAAAACCACACCGAACCATGTCCACCCCTACTTTCCACTAGTTCCATACAATTAAGAAATGGAGCGTAGCCTCAGTATTGCTCTCTTTCAAGCTGTCAAATCTGGGCAATAGCAAATTATAAATAGTTGTGTAAGTGTTTAGAAACCACACTTCTATGAAGTTTTTAGTGATATGAATCAAGATCCCTTTATATCAGTTGACACATATGCCATGATCCTTGAGGTGTATGTCAACATGGCACAAATAATTGCATATAATTTTTGCAAATTCAGCAAGGAAACAGTAAATTCGCCGTATCGAGAGGTGTTCGTGTTGCATGTCTCAAAACAAAAATGTGGCAAAACAGCCAGCCAGATCAGAACAGAGAGTATATCTTCTGTCAAAATAAAAACATTCATTTATACTATCTACGGGCTATAAGGTTGGAGATGGAGATGCAAATTTCTCCCATACATGAATAAGGCGATCATTCAATTTCACATATTAATTGAAACTTCCACACTATAGAAAGAAATGCTCTAAACAAAAGGGGACACAACTCTACACTGAATCAACCCCTTCAACCTGCTGCTGCGCTAGGTATCTTTCCCTGCGCTCTTTCTACAAAGGAAACCGCACATACTACAAGTAAGAATGTGAATCTATAACGCTCAACACCGTCATTCTACCAAAAGAAACAAAAATGTGTTGAGAATGCCTTACCCATTCATCTATGACAAGTCCTTCCCCTACTATCCGGGGACCTGCTTCTTGTGGAGGCTTTTTTCGTGATTCAAGGGAAGCCTCAGCCTCGGCCAATTGCCGCTCAAGTTTTTCCATTGCCTTAATAAAAAAACAAATTGAAAGTGAGAAGGCTTATTACTGAGGCTAAAGCGAAGACAACCAAAAAATGTATATGTAGTGAAAGAAATGACAAACTAGAGATGTATCCATCTACTAACGGGGGTAGGGCGCTCAGGGTCAAGAAAAACAACACGCAAAACCTGCTCAACCACGACTTGGTCTCTCTGCTCATCAAACTGCATAAACACATGTCACATTTAATGTTTAACATCTGTGAATTATGATGCACACTAGTTTCTATCTTGTCATAACATAAAAAATATACAATAGATTTCAAGTATAAATCAGATATTGCGAGATCAAACTGTTGCAGAAGCAAGATATATGCCCTAACCAAATTACAAGGAAGCTTGAATTAGAATTCTGCCAAATGTTTGCTAATGCAGGACATGACATCTGAATTTTCACTTATTAATATATGGCGCCTAAGGTTATAGACAAACATTTTTCTGATATTATCTTTGAGGGAATGTAAAAGTATGTTGGGGGAAAAACAATATAATTAAATATGGTTAAAAGTTATACACGAAATGCCTGCAACCATACCAGTTCTGGCACATAGTCCATATCTCCTTTCACTTTTAAGCTCATGATCTTGAACTTAACCCTGCTCTTCTGGTCTACAGCTGGTTTCTCATCGTTCTCCGGAGGTTCCACAAACTTGAAAACTGTCATTAAAATTACAGTTTTCAACGATGAACTTACTAGAATATGACTAACTAGTATGTTATTCATTGTAAATATATGGAAGTGAAATATAACCCGAAAATGGAAGATCGTGAAGTAAGAATTACCAGTTGCAATAAGATCTTCACCAGGAGCAAGTATACCCCCAGGAGGACGCATGTAACAACTCTTTGGTGCAGTTGTTTGGAACTAAAGCAATCAACACGTAAGCAGTTAGATAGCCGCATCGAATTTATAGTAGGAAAACTCTTGATGTATACTGTCATCCAATGCTATACAATTTTCAAAACTATGTTAACCGAATTTGATCATATGTCCAATTAGATATGACTAGTTTCAGATATGTAAAATACATAACAGGGGAACTTAGAGGATTCAATCCATACCTTGAAAGCTACAATAGTTTTGCTTGTGTTTTTTATTCCAATTGCACTCCTGACCTGTTTACCGGGTTCATCTTCGGACGAAACAAATACATTGTGAGGCCAAATATATCTAGCTTGAATCATATACCAGCAAAGGAACTCAGCCAACATTACACTTTTATAATCATAGCAAATATTTCTGAGTGAAAATCTTACAAGAAATCCTAGGTGAAGCTAATAATGTGAGAAGAGGCCGGATCAGATTAAAAGCATCCACTCCCAACTACACAGATGGATACATCGTGCAACAGAAACAAGCCAAAGAAGAGAGCATATGAGACATAGATAGAGACCCCAATAAGAATTGACCATATCAGCAATAAACATTTGGAATTAAATACGGAATTTGTTATTTTTAAACTCTCGATCATAGAAATTGGGAAATGACGCATATTTACATGGAATTTAAACTTGGGAATTGAAGGTCCCAAATTCCAAGTTTTTTTTTTCATGCGAAAATTCTAAATTTCTATGTTTCTGAATCCAAACAAGGGAATTTGTGCATGTCAATTTATAAATCCTGACTTTTACCCAAATTCCAAGTTTATTTCCCTCATCCAAACATAGTATAAGACTTGTTTGGAACAGATTTTTGAAGGGTTAAAAGCGTTTTGTGACAATTAAAACATTTCTGAATACTTTTGGAAAAAAACTTCAAAGTTGTTCTACGAGTTTCAAATAAATCACTTCTAGGAAAGTGCTTATAAGCAGAAGTTCTCACATAAGCAAATCCCAAACGGCCCCCAGTCATTCATAATCTAACTCATGAAATCAACAATTTATGCAACTTAAGCAAATCAAAGAACAAAGAATGTGGTTATATGTAAACATTTATATTAGCAAAACACCAGTCTAAGCTCACAACAGACATACCATACATGCAACCAATTACACAACCCAAAAAAACAAAAACCCAGATCAGAATTATTACATAAGAACAAAGATAACTATATAGACAAGTAAAAGGGGCATACATGGAAAAAATAGCTTATTTGGAGGATCAAGACGCAGCCTCCTCCGAGCAGGAAGCAAAGACTTGGTCACATACGACACCGTACTGGCAGAATGAAGAGCCGTACGTTCAGCCGCAGACTCGTGACCCAGCTGGTGGTGAACATTATGATGCATAGAAGACAAGGTCGAGGACGATGACGAAGAGGAAGACGAGGAGGCGTTTCCGGACTGCCAAAACGGTATTTTGAACAGACTCCAAAGCTTCCCGTCATACCCAGATTTCTCAGCCTCCACAGCCATTGTCGACCCTACTCGCCGGAAATCACTTCGCGGTGGCCGCAGGCGAACGGGTTTCACCGGAGATGGTGTGAAAACAGTCAAAAAAGAGATTTTGTTTTGCGCGGATTGAACGAGAATTCGCTTTGTGCGGATTGAAGGCGAAAGCTGAAAGATTGAGACTTTGGTGGCACGTAGTGTTTGTGAAAGGTCTTTATGGAATGCGAACGCCGAATGCGGATGAATGCGACCCTTCGTTCTGGACTTTATGGATTGTCGGAACTGGCGGTGGTTACTTTTACAGTTTACTCACTCCAGTCTGTTCTGTTGTTGTTGGCTGGCAGTTGGCAGCTGAGGATCAAGTTTAAAAACATATTATGGGCACTTATATATTTCAATTTCATTCAAACTATTGAACTTATATTTTTTATTCAAGTAACGTCGTAGTCCGATCTAAACCAATGAGAGGGAATTCCAATTTCGGTTGAGTGGCTATGCCAAAATCTGCATTAAAATTATTGGACTATAGTCTATAAGAGCATAGTTGCCACCAATTATATATTTCTTATTACATGACTACAGATGTAATGTGATGAACGCTAAAACTACAAAATCTAAAAATATCAACACATCTGAACAAGGTCAATCAATTTCATTAGTGTTCATACCCTCTTACGTCTAAGTACAATTGTCTTCCTAAACATTGGAATAGTTTAGAAATCGTTTGGTCAAATATCATATTACAGTTTAATTTCCAAACAATAATCTATAGCTTGGTATTAATTTCCAAACAGAAAATTGACAGCTATAGGAAGAATACCCAAATCAGTGGTGGAAGAACTGTAGCTTCGGATATGACATGCACCAAATCCACACTTCCTTTCAAATCTTCCTGCGATTTCTTTTTCCTTTCGTCTCTCTTTTTATTCTTTTGTCATTCTACTTTTGTTTTTAAAAGACTGGATCAATTGCATGAGGCCATAATTAAAATAGGTAATGATGTTTAGAACATGTTCTCCTATAGTGGTGCCGTCAAAGGTAACGACCCTGCAATCAGCAACTCCAGTGATATTCCCATGTGGCCCTCCCTCTTGTGAAATGCATCTCATCTTTTTCCCGCATCCCAAATCAATGAAATCATATTTCATACACCATAGTTTTGGACCTGCCATTTTTCACTTGGGAAAATCACATAGTTCAAAGAGCTTTTGCGTAAAGTTACTTCTGTTCCCTTTATTCACGGTGCATATATAATAAGTTGATCGACCCAAGGGGGCTTATTGCTTGGAGATTGGAGCACTACCGTATAAGATGCAGTTACATAATTGCGTGCTCTAATTTCATGATCGATCCTTACTTAGATCGATAATTGACAAGTGAATCTTAATATTTAAGGGTGTCTATCTCTAAATTGTGTTAAACACATCAATCTAATCCCCAACTTCAAAATCACTTGATGCATGTTTATATTTTGATAGTACACACTAATGTTCATAAAAAAAAATTGCAAACACGACACATGATTAAAATATAAGGGCACATAACTAATGTATATGGTATCAAATAATCGGATGATTACGACTTTGGAGTTTAAAATGATGAGTTTCACATAATAATAGGACTATTTTTGTTAGAGATGATATTCAATTAATTATTTGCTTTTCTATGTGTCAAACTCTAAGGAAAATGTGATTTCATCCTTCTGAACAAATTAAAAGGATATAATGAGACCAAAGACACACAGCTTACATAACGCTTGGTAATGATTTCATAAACATGGGAGTGGGCAGGAATAGGATCTTTCCAGCTCAGTTGGGTCCCCAACAACTCAAGTACATTATTAGTCCAAGTGGTTCTTCTGATTGCTTCCTAGTCCCCTTCTTCTTTGACACCATCTCTTTTTTTTTTCGAAGAAGATTCTCCTACTTGTGTAGACAGTGGCATCGATCATGTTGTTAATTACTACATGTTGGTAGCTCTGCAGGGATCTTTATTTGATAAATTTTCATCTTTCATCCCTAATAAGTTCTATGGTAACAATATTTGTAAGAGGCTAAGAGCAGACTGCCCTCTACAGCTCTACTCTACAATTTGCACAAACCTGAAAATAATCTTAGGGTAAGAGATAATCATTTTCTAGCACAAGCGAGGTCAGGTATGATTCAGAAAATTAATAGTGCATTTTTGCTCACTAACTTAATTATTGATACATAAGTTTAAATTTTGTGATTTCTGTAGTAAATAGATTAAACTCATCCAATGAGTAATCAATGGGTACGTGAACAAAAATATTTCTTCCAAAAATTATATTTTGGGGATGAATCTCCTACCTTTGTATTTTGTAACGAAGTTCTCCTCCCTGTCTTAATTTATTGATAATAAAGATTAATGTGCCGACATAAAATGTTTCCAAAGTATGTACAAATTACAATGACCTTAAGCCGAGTTTAATTGGGTCTCAGTTGGGAACCCAAGAATTAAGATTACATAACTTTCCTCATAGACTCCTCTGACGGCTTTGCTTTCTCTTCTCTCATGATTGTGCTTTAAACCCCTGGAGCAGCAGAAGGAGAAGGATACACTCCCTTGGCCTGAGAAAACAACCTGGTCTGATGGTTCTTGGCATGTTGGTGCATCAGTGTTATGGGGTCGTTTCACCTGCATACCCCTTGGTCTTTCAGGGCTTCCACAACTCCAACTTTTGCCCCCACAATCCAAGACCTAACATATCGATACATACTAGTTAGGTCATTTCCAACCGAAGGGTCCAGAGGCCAAATGGTAGAAAATAACCCAAAAACCGTCTTCAACCAAGGACTAAGCCAAAGGGCTCGTAGGCCCCATTGGATAAAAAAGGGCCAAAGGGCCAACCGGTTGGCCCAAAGTAGCCATCCAGCTAGCCCCGGACTGGGCCATAATTTTCGTTATTCCTGTCGGTTATATCTTACATTATTGTACTTATTCCTGTCGGTTATATCTGACAGGAATAGTAGGCCAAAATTTCAAATACAACGGCTAGTTACTGTTGGATTCATTTTTTTTTTTTTATGAATTTAATTTGTAGTTTGTAAATTTTAATTTGTAGTTTTTAAATTTAAGTTGTAGTTTTTAAATATAAGTTGTTGTTTTTAAATTTAAGTTGGTGTTGTTTTTAAATTTAAATAATAAATTATGTTCGGTCCTATGATCCTCGGTTGGAGACGGTTTTTTGTGACAGGGCTAAAACGAGCACTATGGCCCTCAGTTGGAGATGGAGGCAAATATGACCATGTACTATTCATTAAAATATTAATATATTGGATGACCAGAGAGCTAAAATGAATCATCTGACCAGCCTTCGGTTGGAGATTGTCTTATTTAACAAATTCTAGCTACTTGAATCTTTAAGTGCATGCACAAGAGAAAAATGGACAATTTCCACGTTTGACAAGATGAGTAATTTAGATGGTAATAAATCAACACAGAAGTTATATCCTCATTAAAGAGAAGAAACTAATTGAATCTAGGAAACTTTAACGAAAAGTTTCCGGTACTATTCATTTCAACGAAAAATCACATTTTTACACTAAAAAGTCAATCATGGTACTATTCACTTTACCCTTTATTTTGTCTTAATCGTTAAAACTCAAAGTTTTCAAACCATTTTCATTAGTTTCCCTTTATTTTGTCTTAATCGTTAAAACTCAAAATTTTCAAACCATTTTCATTAGTTTTCCTTTAAATCTATGGCCAATTTGGTGGACGGTTACTTGTTGACTGCTATGTCGATTAAAATACTTTGGTTCACCAATGAATTTGGAAGGGAAAGGAATATAAATAATCCAAAGAGAGAAAGAAGAAAAGGCTAAGTTAATGTTGATCGCATGATAAATTAGTTCTCATATATTAATTTGTAAATACATTAATTACAGAGATCTCAAAGATCTAGATTTAACATTTTGTTGTGAAAAGTTACAATTCCTTCAGGCTACAGTCTACAACTTGTTCGATCAAACGGCCTGCGAATTCTTGTGCTTAACTAAAAATTGAAAGAGTGGCTGAATGAATGATCAATTGGGACCCCAGCAGCTGAGATACATGACTTTCCTCAGAGATTCCTCAGACTGCTTTACCTTCTCATCTTGTCTAAAACTTGAGACCAAAGCAGAAGATGAGGAAGAGAACTTGTTGGCCTGAGAAAACGACCCAAGTTGGTTCTTGGCATGCTGCTGCAGTAATCTCATGGTGTAATTCCACCTGCAGATCCCTTGGTCTTTCAAGGCCTCCTCAACTCCAACACTTGCTGCCACTACCCAACCTCTCCTTGCTGCAACTAATGAACTAGTCATACTGTCTGTATATATTTTTAACACAATAATCTTGATGGAAAATTGGAAGTAAATAAAACTGATGTTTGGTTGATGTGTCTGAATTTTGATTTGATGAAGAAACCGTTGAGCGGGCGTTGCTTTTTATATGAAGGGAGCGACAGTTCAACTAAAGTTCATGAATGTAGAAGGAAAGTGGAAGCCCATAAAATGTGGGAAAGGGGAAAACCATGGGAATTAAGCCAATAGTTTTTACTAGCTGGTCACACTCACTGATAGACGAGACAGGATTAGGTTGGGTAGGACGGAATTGGATCCTCTCCGAGGCCTTGCCTCGGGATCCTCCTAACCCACTAACATGAGCCGTTGGATTTTAATCCAACGACTACAATTATTATAACTTTATAGGGATCCTTTGTTTGTAACCGTTGGATCAAAATCCAACAGCTCATGTTATTGGGTCAGAAGGATCCCAATGATTTGCCTCGGAGAGGATCCAATTCCGGGTAGGACCAAGCAAAAGCACACGGTTTTCCTTTATAAAATCCATTTAAGCCTCAAGTATTGGAGGAGAGGAGATCTCACTTGTTTTAATTTATGGAGCTAAAACAGTGACAACTTTTTTTTTTTTTGTTTTTTTTAAGTGTTCTTCAGTCACCTATTTTTATCTTCAGACTCTTATTAAGTTTTAATTATTGATATTCTTCAATTCATTCGATTCGACGATCGAAAATTGAGAGATGTGTGAGAAGTAAAAATAGATGTGTGAATGCATTACCCTTTTTAAAATTAGAGATCTCATTTTCAAAGGAAGTTGAAGTTTCTATTATTAAACTAATTTGACAAGAATAATGTTAGAGAGACTAAACTTCTAAACTAAATTTCGTAAACAAAATGATGTGGTTGTTGATGATTGAATTATTACTTAAGTGTTGACTACCGTACATTACTTATTGGTAACACATAATTTAGTTTGTAAATTTAATTTAAAATTTTAATATCTCTAACATTATCCATTTGACAATATAAAAAATAATTCCAATCTTTATAAGTACATGTTTTTTTTTTCCAATATAAAATTCATACTCCTAACAATTTTCCTATATTTTAAAAGAATGATTCATAGAAAATATTGAGATTTGAGAGTCATACCAAATGCCTACAATGGATAAAAGCATCAAACAAACTATTGGATTGGACTGGATTCTCACTAATAAAGTCACCAAATCCAATCCAATCATGTTGGTCGTCATCCGATTCAATCATATTGGTTTAGATATTTAGCATTTAGGGATCCAAATAACAAAAATATTACTCTTATCACATATTTTATGACATTATTTATATCGCCTCTAACAGAAATAGGATTCTTTTGCCGCATATTTTATACTATTATTCGAATCGCCTCTAATAGAGATAAGACCAACATGTATGTTAAGTGTATCATTACTCACCAAGTAATAGTTTAAAATCTTCAAAACCATTTAAAATCGGATTGAATCAGATTGGATCAGTCGGTTTGCTGGATTGAATGGGATCTCATCTATCCTAGTTTCAGACTTGAATGTTTCTATTTCTTTTCCTTTGGTCTAATGGATGTTTTTGCTCCTTTATCTTTTGGCATAGTTGGATATTTCTGATTCTTTGAATCAACTAACTCTTTCAGATAAATAAGTATACAAAACTTGAAAAATTAAAGTATCCAAATAATAGAGTTAACAGGTTAGATACATAGAGTTTTGTCTCAAACTGAAATCAACTACATTTCAAGGAAAGTGAGTATAATAGGCGCTTTTGTCAATCCATCGTAGCACAATTTTTGTGAGACCAAGAGTTAATTAAACTTCAAATTCCATAAGAAATTCCTAATTGAACTCAATATCTCTAGGCAAGAATTCTCAGAAATATACATATATATGTGGTAATTCATATTGCAATTGTCATAACAAAATTTACATCAATTTGCCACGACCGAGCAGACATCAAGTGCCTGCATCTTACGGTCTCAAACGATTGCCTGTGCTAATAACTCAAGAAGCCCTTCATGGGGTGTTCCATCAGCGACCGCTCACACAAAAACATGAATCTTAGTTAGCTCTTGTTTTTGTGAATGAATAAATGAATTAGTTGTTGGGACCCCAGCAGCTCAGGTACATGACTGTCCTCAAAGACTTCTCTGATTTCTTCATCTTCTGATCTCTCACTTTACTCAGAGCTGAGGAAGAAGGAGAAGAGAGCTTGCTGTTGGCCTGAGAAAATGACCTCACTTGACTCTTGGCTTGTTGGCCTGCATATCACAAGGCAGAGTTCCATCTGCAAATCCCTTGGTCCTTGAGTGCCTCCACAACTCCAACACTTGCTGCCACTATAGCCTTGCTTGCACTTGATGAACTCATGATTTCTTTCCTCTCCCTTGATATTCTGAATTCTTTTGCTAGTGATTGTGAATGTTAAATGTTTGATGAAGGAGAGAAGAATGGAGTGCTCTTTATATAGGAACTAGAAACGGTGGGCCCTTTCCACCAATTACTAGAGGCGGTTTAGAGAGTGTGAGGCCAATGGTATATTTATTTTGGAGGTGAATTCTCTGTCTTTCCATTTTTATACTCTCTTTATGTTTTTCTGTTTATGTGGTCACGGTTAAGCTACGTAAACATTTTATATTTTTATTACCATTTGTTTTATTATTTCTATAAAAATTAATATAAAATGTTAACGTGGCTTAACCGTGACCATACATCACAGGAGAATATGAAAAGAGTATGAAAATAGAAGGGCAGACAATCTACTTCTTTATTTTTCGGGGTTTCCGTCACACTCATTGCCACCAACTATACAGAGGAGACCACGGTTTTCCTTATAAAATCCATCTAAGCCTTATGGTAGTAAAAGGCCTTCTACGTGGTGATAAGGAAATCTATTCAGCTAAACAATTATACCCAATTACTTTGAAAGTGACAAATCCGATGTAGTAATATATTAAGTACTGGTTTGGTATTAAGGTGCTTTTATAAAAAGTGGGTATAAAAAAAAAAGCTGAGCTAAAAATGGTGTTTGGTAAACACTTAAAAACAGCTTATTTTCACAGTTTTGGGTGAAAAAAAAACTGAAAACGTGCAGCAGCAAAAATAAGCTTATTTTCACAGTACAACAGAAACAGTTTTTTTTCAAGGCACATCAATACTAAACCAAGGCTAATTGTTGTTCAAAAAATTACTTTGAGAGTAGTGAATTTTCTAGCTAAATATGTGGATAAAATAAAAGAAATTTTAACGAGACACTCCCGGTACTTTTCATTTTTAACGAAAAACCACATTTTTACCTTTCCTAGTACTATTTACTACACCTTTATTTGTTATTTTTCATTAAAACTAAAGTTTTTTGGACTTTTCGTTAATTTTTCTTAAAATAAATTGGGAGACATGGAACACTTGTAGTTGTTGGACTTCGTTTGTAGTTCAATATGTTTTGATATCATGAAGAAAAGTGAGGTTCCACCATAAAATCAATTGGCAATACGAGATGTAAGCCAATCTCTTATAATTTCTTGCAAGGTTTTTTCTTTCACCAATGTGGAACTCTTTTACTTTCACATCCTTACACAACCCCCTCACATGTGGCAAATTTTTAAAGCAAACACATGTTTTGCTTCATCCAATTCATATTGTCCACATGTTTGGTTTGAAAATTTACCACAAATGGGAGGGAATGTGAGGATGTGAAGGTAAAAGAGTTCTACATCAATGAAATGATAAACCTTGCACAGGCTTATAAGAAACTGGGCTGCTCGCTATATTACCAATTAGTTTTATGGTGAAACCTCAACTTTTTTCGTCCTATCAGAGTAATTTGTCGAACATGCTTCACATCATCCTGTTTGTGTTGTCCTCATGTTATGTTTGAAAATTTCCCACATTTGAGGAGGCATTTGAGAATAAATCTCACAATGATGGGAGAATAGACTTTATATGGGTCTATAAGTAAATTAGATTATTCTTCATTTATTAATTGATTTTATGGTAGAACCTCAACTCTCTTCACAAAGGTCTACATGCCTACACGTGAACTAATATATGTTATCCACGTGTTATACTTAAAATGACCCTGCACATAAGGCCATGCTGAGATTTTTTTTTTTTTTTTTTTTAACCAACGATTACAAGATCATCAAAAGGTGATGTAGTCTTTTCCTGATGATGCCGTTAATAGTATTTCTCCGTCTGGATTTGTACCCTCCAGGTGGTGTAGTCTTTTTTATGAGTTCGTAATTGCAGTATTTGCATAAATTTTCATCTTTCATCCCTAATAATTCTATGGTGACAATATTTGTAAGAGGCTAAAAGTTGACTGCCCTCTACAGCTCTACTCTACAATTTGCACAAACCTGAAAATACTCTTAGGGTAAGATATAATCATTTTCTAGCACAAGCGAGGTGAGGTACGATTCAGAAAATTAATAGTGCATTTTTGCTCACTAACTTAATTATTGTTACTTAAGTTTAAATTTTGTGATTTATGTAGTAGATAGATTAAATTCATCCAATAAGTAATGGGTATATGAACAAAAATATTTCTTCCAAAAATTATATTTTGGGGATGAATCTCCGACCTTAGTATTCTGTAACGAAGTTCTGCTCCATGTCTTAATTAATTGATAATAAAGATTAATGTGCCAACATAAAATGTTTCCAAAGGATGTACGAATTACAATGACCTTAAGCCGAGTTTAATTGGGTCTCAGTTGGGAACCCAAGAATTAAGATTACATAACTTTCCTCATAGACTCTTCTGACGGCTTTGCTTTCTCTTCTCTCATGATTGTGCTTTAAACCCTAGAAGCAGCAAAAGGAGAAGGATACAGCTCCTTGGCCTGAGAAAACAACCTGGTCAGATGGTTCTTGGCATGTTGGTGCATCAGTGTTATGGGGTCGTTCCACCTTCATACCCCTTGGTCTTTCAGGGCTTCCACAACTCCAACTGTTGCCCCCACAATCCAAGACCTAACATATCGATACATGCTAGTTATTTAACAAATTCTAGCTACTTGAATCCTTAAGTGCATGCACAAGAGAAAAATGGACAATTTCCACGTTTGACAAGATGAGTAATTTAGATGGTAATAAATCAACATAGAAGTTATATCCTCATTTAAGAGAAGAAACTAACTGAATCTATGGCTAATTTGGTGGACGGGGACTTGTTGACTGCTATGTCGATTAAAATACTTTGGTTCACCAATGAATTTGGAAGGGAAGGGAAAATAAATAATCCAAAGAGAGAAAAAGGGCTAAGTTAATGTTGATCGCATGATAAATTAGTTCTCATATATTAATTTGTAAATACATTAATTACAGAGATCTCAAAGATCTAGATTTAACATTTCGTTGTGAAAAGTTACAAATTCCTTCAGGCTACAGCCTACAAGTTGTTCGATCAAATGGCCGGTGAGTTCTTGCCTAACTAAAAATTGAAAGAGCGGCTGAATGAATGATCAATTGGGACCCCAGCAGCTGAGGTACATGACTGTCCTCAGAGATTCCTCAGACTGCTTTACCTTCTCATCTTGTCTAAAACTTGAGACCAAAGCAGAAGATGAGGAAGAGAACTTGTTGGCCTGAGAAAACGACCCAAGTTGGTTCTTGGCATGCTGCTGCAGTAATCTCATGGTGTAATTCCACCTGCAGATCCCTTGGTCTTTCAAGGCCTCCACAACTCCAACACTTGCTGCCACTACCCAACCTCTCCTTGCTGCAACTGATGAACTAGTCATACTGTCTGTATATATTTTTAACACAATAACCTTGATCGAAAATTGGAAGAAAATAAAACTGATGTTTGGTTGATGCGTTTGAAATTTGATTTGATGAAGAAACTGGTGAGTGGGTGTTGCTTTTTATATGATGGGAGTGCAGTTCAACTAAGTTCATGAATGTAGGAGGAAAGTGGAAGTCCATAAAATGGGGCAGAGGGGACAAACCATGGGAATTAAGCCAATGGTTTTTACAAGCTGGTCACACTCATTGATGGAGGCGACAAAATTAGGTTGGGTAGACCAAGCAAAAGCACACGGTTTTCCTTTATAAAATCCATTTAAGCCTCAAGTATTCGAGGAGAGGAGACACCACTTGTTTTAATTTATGAGGCTAAAACAGTGACTCAAACTTTTTTTGAAGAAAAATACTATTAACACCCTTATTTTTACTTTTTACTCATTCTTATTAAGTTTTGATCATTAAACTTCTTCAATTCATTTGATCTGACGACTGGAAATTGAAAGAGGTAGAAGAAGTAAAAATTGGTGTGTGGATGCAATACCCTTTTAAAAATTAGAGATCTCATTTTCAAAGGAAGTTGAAGTTTCTATCATAAAACTAATTTGACCAGCTAGAGAGACTAAATTTTATAAACTAATGATGTGGTCGTTAATGATTGAATTATTCTTTAACTGTTGACTACCGTGCTTATTTCTTATTGGTAGTACACCACTTAGTTTGTAAATTTAGTTTAAAATTTTGATTTATCTAACATTACCCATTTGACAATATAAAAAATAATTCAACTTTTTATAAGTACATGTAAATTATTTTTTTCAATATGAAATTTATATCCTAACAATTTTCCTATATTTTAAATGAATGATTCATAGAAAGTATTGAGATTTGAGAGTCATACCAAACGCCTACAATGGATAAGAGGATGAAACAAACTATTGGATTGGACTGGATTCTCACTAATAAAGTCATCAAATTCAATACAATCATGTAGGTCGTCAGCCGATTCAATCATATTGGTTTTGATATTTAGGGATCCAAGTAACAAAAATATTACTCTTACCATATATTTTATATCATTATTTGTATCGTCTTTAATAGAGATATAACTCTCTTACCACAGTATTTTATACCATTATTTGTATCGTTTTTAATAGAGATATGATCCATACATATTGATAAGTGTAGCATTACTTGTAATACTTTAAATCTTCAAAACCATTTACAATCGGATTGAATCAGATTGGATCAGTCGGTTTGCTGGATTGAATGGGATCTCACCTATCCTAGTTTCAGACTTGAATGTTTCTATTTCTATTCCTTTGGTCTAATGGGATGTTTTTGCTCCTTTATCTTTTGGCATAGCTGGATGTTTCTGATTCTTTGAATCAATTAACTCTTTCAGATAAATAAGTATACAAAACTTGAAAAATTAAAATATCCAAATAATAGAGTTAACAGGTTAGATACATAGAGTTTTGTCTCAAACTGAAATCACCTAAGTATGTTCGCCTACATTTCAAGGAAAGTGAGAGAATAATAGGCGCTTTTGTCAACCCATCGTAGCACAATTTTTGTGAGAGCAATAGTTAATTAAACTTCAAATTCCATAAGAAATTCATAATTCAACTCAATAGCTCAAGGCAACAATTCTCAGAAATATACATATATATGTTTAATCTATATTGCATTTGTCATAACATAACAAAATTTACATCCATTTGCCACGACCGAGCAGACATCAAGTGCCTGCATCTTACGATCTCAAACGATTGCCTGTGCTAATAACTCGAGAAGCCCTTCATGGGGTGTTCCATCAGCGACCGCTTACACATGCAATCTTAATTAGCTCTTGTTTTTGTGAATGAATAAATGAATTAGTTGTTGGGACCCCAGTAGCTCAGGTACATGACTGTCCTCAAAGACTCCTCTGATTTCCTCATCTTCTCATCCCTCACTTTACTCAGAGCTGAAGAAGAAGGAGAAGAGAGCTTGCTGTCGGCCTGAGAAAATGACCTCACTTGGCTCTTGCCTTTTTGGCCTGCATTTCTCAAAGCAGAGTTCCGTCTGCAGTCCTTGAGTGCCTCCACAACTCCAATACTTGCTGCCACTATAGCGTTGCTTGAACTTGATGAACTCATGATTTCTTCTCTCCTTTGATATTCTGAGTTCTTTTGGTAGTGATTGTGAATGTTTAATGTTTGATGAAGGAGATAAGAATGGAGTGCTCGTTATATAGGAACTAGAAATGGTGGGCCCTTTCCACCAATTACTAGAGGCGGTTAAGAGGAACGAGGTTTTTAGGAATTCTTAAATCGTATCCGTTCAACGTAAATTGTACGGCCAAAAATCATTTTAAATATTTTTATTTAAATTTAAATATAAACAGTACTTGATAAAAACTGATCGCATGATATATGATGAACGGATACGATTTAAGGATCCTCAAGATCCTCACAAAAATGATCTGAAGAGGATCCTCCTACGGTTTAGAGAGTGTAAGGCCAATGGTATATCCGTCACACTAATTGCCACCAACTATACAAAGGAGGGACTTGGATCCTCTCTTAAGCCAAAGGAGGGACTTGGATCCTCTCTTGAGCTCAAGGAGAGGATCATCCTGACCAAGGATCTTGGATCGTTGGATTTTCATCTAACGTATAATTATTATAACTTTAAAAGAATCATTTGTTTGTAGCCGTTTGATAAAAATCTAATAGTCCAAGATCATTAGTTAAAAGGATCTCTCCTTAAGCTCAGGAGAGGATCCAAGTCCACAAAGGACAAAGGAGTACACGGATTTCCTTATAAAATCCATCTAAGCCTCTAGTATAGGAGGAAAGGGCCTTTTACGTGGTGATAAGGAAATCTATTCAGCTAAACATCTATATCCAATTATTTTGAGAGTGACAAATCCGCTGTAGCAATATTAATTTTTGTTCAAAAAATTACTTTGTGAGTAGTGAATTTTCTTGCTAAATACGTGAATAAAATAAATTGGAGGACGTGGAATACTTGTAATTGTTGGGTTTTGTCTATAGTTCAATATGCTTTGATATCATGAAGAAAATTGAGATTTCATCATAAAATTAATTGGCAATATGGGAAGTAAACCAATCTCTTATAATTCCTTGCAAGGTTTTTTTTTTACCAATGTGGAACTCTTTTACTTTCACATCTTCACACGGCCCCTCACATGTGGCAAATTTTCAAAACAAACACGTGTTTTGCGTCACTCAATTCATATTGTCCATGTGTTTGATTTGAAAATTCACCACAAATGAGAAGGTGTGTGAGGATGTGAAGATAAAAGAGTCTCACATCAGTGAAATGACAAACCTTGCACATGCTTATAAGAAACTGGGCTGCTCGCTATATTGCCAATTAGTTTTATAATGGAACCTTAACTTTTTTCGTCCTATCATAGTAGGTTGTCCCACATGCTCCACATCGCTTTGTTTGTGTTGTCCTCATGTTAGGTTTGAAAATTTCCCACACGTGAGAAGGAATTTGAGAATAAATCTCACATTGATGGAATGAGAGACTTTGTATAGGTATATATGTTGAGTTATTCTCCATTTACTAATTAATTTTATAGTAAAACATCAACTCTCTTCACAAAGGTCTACGTGCCTACATGCCAACTAATATATGTTATCCATGTATTATACTTAAAATGACCCCGCACATAAAAGGGCCTGCTGAGATGTTTTTTTTGTTTTTTGCCGATGATTACAAGACCATCAAAAGGTAGTGTAGTCTTTTCTTTGTGATGCAAGTTATAGTATTTCTCCGTCTGGATTTGTACTATCAGGGTGGTGTAGTCTTTTTTATGAGTTCGTAATCGTAATATTTTTTTTTTTTTGGATTAGGATTCTTTTCTTTCATTTTTTCATTCCCTTATCTCACATTCTTTATTTCATCTTTTTCATTCCCTTATCTCACACTCTTTATTTTATCTTTTTCTTTTTATAATAAATTAATATAAGATGTTAACGTAACTTAATCATGATCATTCAAATAAGAGGGGATAGAAGAAGGAAAAAAAAAAAGAAGAGAATCCTTCCCCATTTCTTTTAGCATGATTGGCCTCTCTTTCCTGATCCAGAAATTTCTCCTGTGGTTTTTCTTATGTAATGCTTCTCCTCAATAAAGGTTATTATTCACTTTCTGATGAACTTTCAAGTGATTCACCGTTTGATTTTCAAGTGATTTTACCCTGAAATGATTCTAGCCTTACCAAAATTACTCTCAAGCAAGTTCAGTCAGTCCAGTCACTTCAGCTACAAGCCTCGTACCTAAATACTCTTAACTAATTGTCTTCAATATATTTAACCATCTGAGCAGGCTTAAATACTAAACTTTGTTCACGAGTTTCAAAGGAAAAGGAGGAGTGAACTGTAGTATTTCTGTCGCTCCATGGAAAAGTGTCAGTGATTTCCAGAGTCCTTACATTCTTCCTCATCTTACCCATAAATAGCGTGCTTGCACAGGCTTATAAACTTCGAACAAATTTTTTCTTGAATGCTAGCAAAACTCAACGCTATTATGGGATGATAAATCGTCTCCTCAGGACAAAGTAACTACTGGCTAATAATTATAAAGAAAAATGATCAAGGAAGAAATTCTGAGCAACAATTTCTGTTTTATATGGTAATTGTTCAAAATTTACATCAATTGGCCCCAAGCCAACATGACAATTAGCCCTAATTTACAACCCTTATCTTAGCTCTCGTTTTTAAGAATGAATCATTTAATTAGTTGTTGGGACCCCAGCAGCTCAAAAACATAACTGTCCTCAAGGACTCCTCTGACTTCTTGAGCTTCTCATCTCTCACTTTATTCAGAGCTGAAGCAGAAGGAGAGAGCTTGTTGTTGGCCTGAGAAAATGACCTCACTTGGCCCTTGGCCTGTTGGCCTACATATCTCAAAGTCGAGTTCCATCTGCAAATCCCTTGGTCCTTGAGTGCCTCCACAACTCCAACACTTGCCACCACTATAGCCTTGCTTGAACTCATGATTTCTTCTCTCTTTAATCTTCTGAACTTCTGTAGTAGTGACTGAAAGTTTTAAGAGTTCGATGAAGAAGATGAGCATCAAGTGCTCTTAATATAGGGGGATTACAAAAGGTGGGCCTTGTCACCAAAACCAGGGGCGTTCAGAGAGTGTGAAGCCAATGGTATTTGTTAACTTCTGTCACACTCATTGATGGAGACAAAATTGGGCTGGGTGGGAAGAAGTAACTCACTGCCCACCAGACTACAAACGAGCACACGGTTTTGCTTATAAAATCCATTTAAGCCTCAAGTATGGGAGGAATTCTATAAGTGAAAATTGTCACATTGTTTGACAAGCTAACTCGTATTTTGTAATTCTGCTCAAGACTGATAATGAACTAACAATTGCATCCATTTTGTTTTCTTTATCAAGCTCTAATTCATTTTTAATTATGTACTTTGTGGTTATAATATAATGTTTATGTTGAGAATGAGTATTATATTGTTAGGCGGAGGGTTTTTGCATGAACTTATAGTGACATCTTAATTTTCTTCGTAGTTTTAAATCAAGTTGTCACATAAAGTCCAATAGACACGCGCACCACATCTTTGCATTGTGTTGTTTACATATTAAACTTAAAAATTTGTTGCACATGAGAGACATATTAAAAATAAATTCAACTAGACATAAAAATTTGTTACACATGAAAGATGTATTAAAAATGAATTCAACATTAATGAAATGAGGACTGTATATGAGCTTTTAAGTAAACTGAAATACTATGTCAATCAACTTTAGAATGAAAGTCCAAACATTCTAACATGTAATGTTATTAATAGCTTAAAAAGCCCTAAAAGTAACATCCTAAAATAAAAGAGCACCAATGGGTAGATCAAGACAGCAATAGAAATACATAAATAAATTCATATGGTAAATTGATAATTAGAGCAAAAAATTTACATCAATTTGCCCTGAGCAAACATCATGATTTGGCCCCAATTTTACAACCCCAAACGATCACCAATGAAGACTCAAAAGTTCCTTCACGGTTGGGTTGTGCCATCAGCGAACCGCTTAATTGTACAAAAACATGCAAGCAATAATATTTGCTTTCGTTTTTTTGGTCACTTAAATAAGTTGGGACCCCAGCAGCTTAAGTACATGGCTGTCCTCAAAGACTCCTCTGATTTCTTCACCTTTTCGTCTCTCACTGATCTGCTTAGAGCTGACGAAGTAGGAGAAGAGAGCTTGCTGTTTGCCTGAGAAAATAACCTAATTTGGTTCTTGGCTTGTTGGTGCATGGATCTCAAAGTAGAGTCCCATCTGCACATATTTCTTGGTCTTTCAATGCCTCCACAACTCCCACACTTGCAGCCACTATAACTTTGCTTCTTGTTGAACTCAGGATTTTTAAATTTCCGCTTGATTATTTGAAACTCCCCAGCTGTGAATGTGAATGCTTGAGTGTTGATGAAGATATCACGAGTTAATCTTTAAATAGGGGGTTGAAATGATGAAAAAATTAATAAGAATCTTAATGAAACATTCTCGAAACTATTCACTTTTAAAGTTAAAAATATTTTTATCTTGAAAAGTCACTCTTAGTACTATTTACTTACATCTTTATTTTATCATTTTCATTAAAACTACAGTTTTTAAAGACTTTTCCTTAATTTTTCTAAAAATTAGAGAGAAAATTAATGAAAATGTCTTAAAACTTTAAGTTTTAACGAAAAAGATAACATAAAGAATAAAATGAATAGTATCAGAATTAATTTTTTAATGTAAAAATATAATTTTTCTTTAAAAATAAACAATACTAAAAATGTTTTATTAAAACTACCCAAAATTATAAAGTAGGATCCGGATAAGCACAACATTTTGCTGCCACATGGGCACGTGGTTTTTTCTATTAAATTATCCATTTAAGCCACCATTGTTTGGCAAAATAGAAAGTGAAAACCATTGTTTACTTGCCTGGTGAGGATTGTGAGAAAAAAAACAATTATTTTGGCACGAAGTTTGAAGAGTGATGCCCGTAGTTCTCTTGTTGATACCTGGGCTGCTACCAATTGCTGATGCAATTGCGTGGATCTCTTTGTTGTCACACGTGTTGGGTTCATTTGGTTATCACGCGTCGAATGCTGACGATTTTCTTAACATTTGTCAGAATTTTTTTCGTGTGATTCTCACACTATCTAAAAAGGAGGAAGTTGAGTCACTAAGTACGGAAAGGGAACCCTTTCCACTAAGTACATCCAAGATTTGGTTTATCACCACAATGAGACTGTCTTTTATATTTTCGTATGAGTGGTTTGGTACAAGATCTTAAATTGAAAATAGGATTCTGAATTCCAGATCAAAAACTTTCGGAATGAAAATTTGAAGATCAATCTCGAATTAAAATTTTGGTATTCCTAATTTTTGGGATTTTCAAAATTTTTTCGGTATTTCGAGATGAATCGGAATTGTGTTTTGGGTTCTGGGCTTTTGGGCATAAATTTGAGATTTTTGGGTTGTGGCTTAAGATTTGGGCATTTAGTTTAAAATTTTATTACTTAATTTCATATTAATTGAAATTTAGGTTTTTTACCAATTACCAATTTGAAATTTTTTACCAATTGAAATACCAAAACGTTCTTACCAAGTCAAATTAACGTTCCAAAGTTTCAAACTACTTAATTTCATACTTCTATTTCTAATATAGTCTACTTTCAAATTACTTAAATTCAACATTTAACATGCATACAACCCAAATAAATATAAATATATATTTTCGGTTTAGTTTGGGATTTCCGAACTATTGAATATGTAATTCCGATTTTCGTATCAAAAAGTTCAGGATCGGTTCGGTATGAATCCAAAAAAATTTGGTATTATTGGGTTGGAAATTTTTGGTATAGGATCGAAATTTTTTTTATTTGATTTGGAATTTTTAGGAAAAATTTTCAGCCCTATATTCTCATATTCTAATTCCTTCGTGGGTGGCGAACTTTTACACCAAACACATGGTACAAATTTAGTGATGTTGATATATAAGCAACTTTCCAGTGTAATTGTGTTTGGACTTAGATTTGTCATCCCTCGTTCACGTCGAGGGGGTGCACTTCCAAGTTGGACCATTCAAGGTCAAACATTTCTCGTTGAGGTCCTACGCCTGAACGCACTTCCAGTTCGTGGCCAAACACCCCGTATGCACTTCCATCCGAGGTAGTTCACTTACAAGTCAGCATATTCAAGGGTGAATACTCTTGAACATGTAGATTGTTTAAATATTTGATATTGATCATATCTCTGAGAAAAGAAGAGTTTAAATATTGAAATTTCGCTCCAACTAATGCTGAGACATTTTATGATAAAATTTCATACTTGACAAATTGTGCGTGTGGTAGTTACAAAGTTTAGGACAATATCAATATTGTTGGAGTGGACCTTTGGCCCGTCTCTCAAATAATTGTACTTGGTATCATAGCCAGGAAGCAGGCTCATACTACCACGTGATGGGTGAGTCCCCTTGGCTCTCCACGTGATTGTCGATTTGTGGATCTCCCACTTGTAACTCACTAATTGGGTCTCACGTGAGGGGCATGTTGAAATATCCAATATCGAACGTGTCTTTGAGAAAAAAAAAAAGTTTCAATATCTCAACTCCACTCCAATTAATACCTATGTCTTTTGTGATAAAAGTCCCTACCTAACAGATTATGCAGATGGTAAGCATCAAATTTGGGACGATATCAGTGTTGCTGGAGTGGACTTTTGGCTCGTCTCTCTAATAATTCTACTTAGATCACTTCCAAATTAGCCCGTTCATGGTCGAATAACCCTAATGCTTTAATCCGCACTCAAGGAACGGAAAATTATACTAGATTAGAATCTCAATAGACAAAGCTCGTTCAATTGGAGTTACCCTTATAACTTTACTAGCAGAGATCACATATTTTGTATGTGTAAATAATTTCTCTTAATAAGTGCATATTTTTTTTTAATATTACACATACTTACTGTTTTGTTTTACTTATGTAAATATTGTGTATCAAAAGTGAGGGTAAAATTGAAAAAATAAGTATAAAAAAGAGGATAAAATATGAAAAATAGAGATATGGTTGTCATTTTGTCAAAAGGTACAAAATTGGAAAAAGTAGGGAAAAAAAGTTGACTAGTGCTCTTCTCTTAATAATAGTATAGATCAGATGCAAACCCAATTTTATACCTTTTAAGCTAAAACATGCTTGACACACCCTAGGGTAAAATATGAAAAATAGAGATATGGTTGTCATTTTGTCAAAAGGTACAAAATTAGAAAAAGTAGGGAAAAAAAGTTGACAAGTGCTCTTCTCTTAATAATAGTATAGATCAGATGCAAACCCAATTTTATACCTTTTAAGCTAAAACATGCTTGACACACCCTTGACCATATAAGAGCAAGTTCCAAAAGTTATTCTATTTTTTTAAGATGGAAATGCATGGTTCACATGCCATGCATGAATAATTTCGTACTATTGGTAAAAGTGGCGCTCAATAACACCCAATATACAAGCCATTTAGTCGAGCTAATGAGAGTAAAAATAGCAATGCTAATGCTAAATAATAAAAATCAGAGAGAATCAAAGCTCTCTCATCATCTGTGATATTTTTTACTTTTTTGGGAAATATACATTAATTCGAATCATGCGTGCAAGTATGCAGCTTCAATTCAATTTCTAATGAATCTAAGTGGGTACATCCTCAACTTTAAGACTTGAGAACTTCACCATGAGCTCCAATTTGTGTCAATAAGGTCCCCAGCAGCTCAGGTACATGACTTTTCTTTGAGAATCCTCAGCTGCTTGGTTGTTCTTTTCGGAATTCATTTTGTTCAAAACCATAGTAGAAGACGAAGGCGATAGTTCCTTGGTATTGGAAGTCTTGGAAGTCCAGTGGTTTATTAGGGTTTCCAAAGTATTATGGTGCTTCACTGTAAAACTGGACAATAGGGGTTTAGTTACTGTTTCCTAAGTGCCGGCTGTTTTCTTTTTCTTGTGATCAGCAATTCTTGTATAGTTGTCAACTCCATAATTCAAGGAGCTGTTGTTAGCTTCCCTAAGCCACTCATTATG